ACGGATGTGGTAGACAGCTTTTGGCTGAGGCTGAACAACGTCCTCCACACTGCGGGTCACATCAAATATCAGGAGCTCTACCTGTTCTACGCTTTCTTTCGTGCCGTAATGCCGCCTGTGTCTTTCAATGACCTTTTCAAGGACAAGCCAGGCGCAATGGTAGCACGAGTACCAAGTTTTACAGCTGGTTTGGGCACTTTATACGATTCGCGTGGGTGGACATATGTCCATCTTGATGAGGCTCTGGAGATGCTCATTATCCGCCTCGTGAAAGGCCTGAACGTTCTAATGCTACCGTATATAGAATCATGTGGGGCGTGGCTGCTGGAATCTTCCAAGGCTCGTATGAAGATCAGAACCATTACGGCTGCCTCGAGGTCTTATCGGCGTACTCGCGTTGCCAATACAGACGCTCCAGGCGACGCTCCGGGGGGGTCACCGCTCGGGGGATACGACAGAAGTGCCGCGCAGAGCAGTACAGTGCGGAAGATGGTGGAGCTCATGCGCCAGAAGGGTTTCCTTACATTGGAGCACCGGCAAAGTGCCAAACTACGAAATGTACTTGGAACAACCGTGCGTGATCTCGAGGACGAACGTCTTCAAACGATGGTTTTGGACATCGATAATCATGGCCGCACTAGTGCTGAACTCCACGCGGCGGCTATGTTTCCAGAAGTATTTGGTCCGCTGTCAAAGGAAGACTATGAGAAGTTCTTTAATGGGAAAAGATTCCGCGGAGTTTGGACGAAGCAGCGTCAAATCCCGACCGCAGGCTCCGTGATGGCAAGGAAAGTGGAAGCGCAAACTTCCCGCAGACTGGGCTCGAAACCGAAGAGGACGCTCGCCGACCTTCGCCACTTGCGAATAAAAACCATGACTAATTTGACACTTGCTGAGCACGCTGCTGTTCGGGCTGGTGATGTACGAGGGGCAGACCAAGCACGGAATCGCTGGGAGGAGCTTCACGCCTCGCGTTTTTTGATCTCATCTCTGGCGTACGCGTATCGCGATACAAATCTCGCCATTCGACACGCAACGAAAAGTGCTTTCTTGCCAGCTCTTAAGCTCACATTGAGAGGTAATCGGGATGACCAGCTGCCACATTCCAATCAGATGGCGACGGAGGCGAGGAATGGAATATCTTTCTACTACGACTTTGACATGCCGCCGTACGTCAGTGTGATGATGGACGTCATGAATCACATTTGGAGTCGTGGAACTGATGGAAGGCGCGGAAATTCCCTGTATTGCATGACCGTGCAGAAGATGAGGCATGTTCTGCGTCCATGGTTTGCGGGGCGGCGTGGGCGGTACCTCAAGCAGTTACATCTGCACATAGACGATCCCACAAACGTCATCCCCCAAAAGAGAGGGGAGCAGGAAAGGCGCGATCACTGGCGAGAGGCTGGGGGAGCCGCACACGACTCCACTCACACGATACAATTTAAAGAGGAAAGCGAGAACATAATGGGATTCCATCTTCCAGTGTCTGTACCCTGGTCCTCACTCGTCGGACCCCGGCCGAACAGGGACGCTATTTGCAGTTTGCACCTTTTTTGCGGCGCCATTGCAGCTCTGGAGTTAGCGTGTGAAGAGGATCTGGGCGTTTCCGTTTTCCTGTATGGTGGATGCTTCGCAATCCCAGTCGATTGTGTTGGGAAAAACGGTTTGAGAGCTTTGCCAGAGTTGGCGTGTCTTCACGAGAGCTGTAGCAACCCGCGGGAAGGGGAGGTTGTTTTAATACATCCGGAGAAACATGAGGAGAAGCTACGCACCTCGAAAATAGGCACGGCCAGCACATCGCCGGGAACAAGAGGCGCAGAAAGGAATGCTGCTCTCCAGGATGAAACATTACTCCAGGTTCCTAGAACCCGCGTCATGAAGCTGTCGAGTAGGGGCGGCTTGGAAATCACTGACACTACGATTGCACACGGCGAGGCCGAAACACGTTTCGTCGCAGCATTCAACACCTTCGTACAACCCCTTTTGGCTGACCTTGGTTGGGAGGAGGACCACATGTGCGCCACGAGCACCCCCACGCCGACGAGCATCGAGAATTTCTCCAGGCGCGGAAGCAGCTGTGTTTTCGTGTCGAAAGATACAGACGTGACCATGATTCTTGCACTTGCGGAAAGGTTGCGGAACAGAGGCGTCATCCATGTGCTGGGTGAAAACATTATTGATATCGACTCCCTTCTTGAAAGCGTTCGGCAAAGTAAGGTTCAAATAGGTTATATTGCATGCGCGTATGTATTGGCGGGATGCGATTTCACGCCGGGAACATGCGGTATCTCGCATGAGAGGTACCTCCGGGCTCTATTACGCAACAGGGAATTTATTAGAGACATTAATATGCTCTCTTCAGGCGACGTTTTTGAGCTCTTAACGCTCTTGGCCTACCTCGAAAAGTACGGCAAATTCCGAGTGACCAACGCTGAGCAAATGGAAAAGCTTGAGAACGAATGGAGCCTTCGATCTCTTGATCTATTGGAAGTGAGGAAGAAGCGAAGAACTTTCTTCGTCAGCAATAATGCCATGGGTTGCTCAGATTGGAGGCTCGATGTGAGGCGGTTTGTTTCTGACAAGGCGAAGTCGGCGAGTGACCTCGTCCCGCTAAGAGAGCACGTTGAAATGCAGGCAGCAAGAACCAAGCTGGTCGTATTCGGATACTGGCAGAAAGCAGAAAACGCGTTGCTTTCGGCGGATATTGTGATGGGTTGTGAAGAGGAGCATGGGTTCGATTCCGCCGGTGGCATCATTTTGGAAAGACAGTCCGACGTGCAGCGCATCGAAAAGACGATGCGAAACTTGACCGCTACATGTGCGTGCAAAGGGCCGTGCACCACACTTCGCTGTTCGTGCGTCAAACGAAAGACGAAATGCATCGGCTGCCAATGTGACAGAAGGTCTTGCCAGAATCTTGCTGCGCAGACAATTCGCATACTCCACGGCAGCAGCGAAATGTTTACTTCGTACGAACGTGAAGGGGAAACGGAAGTCGATTGCGCTGGAACGAATGAGCCACCTTTCGAATCCAATGTCTTCAATCCGCCTACCCTTGGTACGGAGCTCGATCTCGAGGAGCTCGAAAACCTTTTGAGCCTCGCGTAGAGGCTGTAGCATGTGCCAAATTCGAAGGGAAAGCATCTTCTTTAAGGCGGGAGCAGGTCGCTCACCGACTGAGAAAACAGCTAAGCATGGACTGCGAGCTCCTGAGCGGGTTCGGAAAAGCTTCTCTGAAGCTTTCGAGGAACATTTCTACGCGCGACGGGTTTGCACAAGACCTGAATATCCAGTGGTAGTATAGTTGCTCCACATCCTTCGGCGGGGGATATTTCTCGATGTACTCACGATTAAGCCAGATGAAGAGACCAAGCTCATGGAACTGGTGATAGGCGGCACGTGTTGTGTATGAAAAGTATGTTTCTTGGGCACGAAATGGAAGAGACCGAGGCGGTATGCGCACAAGCAGAATACCTTTCGAAGAAAGGGAGCGTATTCGCGCCAGGACTCCGTAAGACTTTCCCAGCGGTAGCAGGGCACAACGGCAGTACGGCGTGATACCACGGGCGCCCTTATCAAATGCGGAAACTACTTCATGTATAAACTCTTTGTCGAATGGTGGATTACCACCTGCGCCTTCAATGTCTTTTTCCCTGTCTTGCCATCTACCAAGGGAGCCAAAAAGGTCGTCATGTGGATCCGCGCTACAGTAGGACTCCAGAACTCCGCTTTCGTTGAACGCGTCCGCGAATAATTCCGTCGTCACCCGCGAAGAGAGAAACCAGAGACTGTAAAGGTCCGGCGTGACGGTTCTGGAAGTCGGGTTGAAGCGCGCTTCACATTTGAGGTGCACTGCGTTGCAAAGAGCCATAAGGAAAGAGACATCGTCATAACCTGGCATAAATGTCGCCAAACCTTTTTCGTTGCGTTTTAAGCATTGTGCCACAGCCACGGGAGATATTGTAGCCTTTGGTTGGCATTGAGACGAGATGAACTCTCCATGCGGTACATACACTGCACGAGAAAACCGAGCGTATAAACGTCGCGCGACCTCTGCGCGAATCACAAATTTCGATGCCCTGCCATAACCTTGTCGGTATTTTTTGGCCACTGAAACACAGTAAACAAAGCAGCCAAGACCGTGGCAGTTACCGCGTCGCAGCTGGAGAGGTTCGAGTTTATGCCCTTCAAGCGGTATTGCTCCGGCGCAGCATGTTGCTAGTAGGTCGCAACATATTTGCGTTGATCGGTGTCTACTGATCATTGGAGCACCGCGACCTTTCCAGCGCATATCTAGGCCATATTCGTATGTTCCAATGGACATCTTGAAGCGTGTATGGTTTCTCCCAGGGCCTAGAGGACGGAGCGGCGAGCACGATTCTGTGAAACAAATTTTTTCGGGGAGTGCAAGGAAGTTGGTTGTGTAGACATGCGATGAAGGGGTATCGCAGGCTCTGCCTCGGGACAGCCGCAAGTGTTGGTTATCCTGCTTCGGTTCGAGCGGGTACGGGAGGAGTTTGATGCAGAACGTGCTAGCATAAGCGGGACGAAGTGGTTCGCGTCGGAGAAGAGGGGAGGGGAAGCGGGGTTGGATGGTGAGTAGATGTAACTGTCGAAATCTGGAAGAGCACTGCAATGGGCAGGAAGCAAATTCTTGATTATAATTTCTACGCTCGCTACGCAGCCCTTGCTGCCTCGAAATGACGATTTCCGAATACAGCAAAAATGATGCCGAACCTCACGGACTGTTCCCGCCAGCAGCCTCTGGCCAGCAAATAAAACTTGATTTGACGGTGCCCAAGGGACCGGGCACAACACCGCTGTACTGTGCATGCGATACGTGTACCCTTGCTACGGCACTGTACCAGTTGTTCATACATGAAGTTCATGTACAGTTTCAGCTTTTGCTTGTCTGAATGTATATTTTCGTTGTTTTCTTCAAACCTTGCTGGGGAGAAGGCCACACAGAGGGTACAGAGCGGCAGGCCACACGTGTTTCAGAAAACCACTTCTGCTGGCCATAGCGGGACAAGACAGATAAATGAACGCAGCCGTCTTTGTCCATGTCCTTCCATTTCACCCTTGACTGAAACCGGAGAGGCAGCAGGAATGGTCTCAGCAGTGGGGAGCATTCGGTGATTTCTGAGACTATTGAAATCACCCTGAGATCTTTCTGTTATATCGAGCAACGACTGCGCACTCGGAAGCAAATCAGGCACGAATTTGGTCATTTGGTCTAGTTGAAGCGGAATCATCCCCCCACTACTCACGTACGGGCTGCGACGGGCCACGCTCAATGCATGATCCAGTGAAAATTGAAACGACAAAGCGTGCTAACACACAATTTTGTCGAAGGCCTGCCGATTATGGACCAAGTCGCTGACATACTGCCAGTGAAAGATGCCGATGAACTAATTGATTTCACATGCGCATCTCCATGGGAACGACTCGCCCTCGACGTGGAACTCGAACTTCGCGCATGGGGCCTTCATGACGGCCAGCAACCGAACGATGACAAGGACGGCGCCGAAATTCCAACGTCTCAAAAACTCCGCTCCTCCGGTTTGGAGCCAGACCCGATAGCTGCTCGTGTCGTTTCGATCGGAGACAAGCGCCTCGTATTAGAACTGCGAAGCGCACTTCCCTGTGTTACTTTGGACGCACCCCCGCTTGAGCGAATCCTAGGGGTAAACAAGAGTGTGCTTCTCAGCGCGGATACTGCCGACGGCATTATTGCTGATGACGCCTCAGATGCAGCCGTGCTTCTATCAGCTATGGCTGTTGCTGCATCAGCGTGCTCCTGTTCCATTCCGATGATCGTTCCTGTCGGACGCCCAAGTTCTTTACGTTTCATCGGCCGTCAACTCTATCCAACTCATCTTCGTTTTTCGTGTGATTACACTCACCAGATTGAACCCAACTATACCCATCTTGCCGGTCTGCTGATCTTGTTTCGAAACAAGCGGACTTCTGCAAAAAGACTTAAACCCCCACCCGCGAACGATGCTGTCATTTCCGCAAAGTTTAAATATGACTGGGTCGACTTTTCGTTCAAGCTCACTCCAATTCCAGGCTCGTTCGCATCCGATCGTCGCCTATCTGCGATTCAGGCAGATGCCATTGCCGAATATGACCCCATCAAGAGAATTCATGTCACAGCCATATGGGACGACTTCCCTGTGAGCGCGCTGCAACGCAATGCCGTGCTGGCTGGTATGCCTGCGTCGACTGCTTCACGTCTCCGCTTGGCCCTGTCAAGTGACTTGTTGGAAGCCATGGCGAGCACTCAGATACCATCCGCGAGAATTCATCTTACGAACCCGGCATTGAAACTGCTGAAGTACGCCCAGAGTGCCGCAATCGCTTCCGACAGCCGCCATCCCGCTGCCCCTCGCCCTGTTGTGGATGTACGGAAGAAGATACCATCGATGACGTCGGGATCGAGGGGTGTAGCGGCCGGTGCTGACACGGCGCAGGATGGAAGATCACAACGGAAGGGGTCAGAGCGCGAAAGTCTGTCCGCATTAGATACCTTCTTCACTGAGGTCGGGGAGTACGTTGCGGCTGCAGCGGTACAGGATGATACAATCGATGAGCAGTTTGTCACCTCTGCGGTGGCCTCTCTTTTTGAAATGAACCTTGGACATGGAATTATGGCGGATGTAGTTGACGCAATTGGGCCGAATGCGGCGGAAACAACAGTCCTAGAAAGGCTTGCACGGTTATTAGCTGCTTCAGAGACCTTGAACGCAACACAAAAGCTCTGGAACCTGTTTTTGGATGGAGTGGAGGTGCATTGGGAGCAGGGATGGGTCGTTGGCGGTGTTCCATTCAACTTAGAGAACGGCCCAGATCACAACGCCAGTTTGGTGATACAGAAGCTGCAAATGATTAATTGCTGTATAGAGAGGCGGCGGCATGAAGCGCTTCGGGCCTCGGCGACTCTACAAGGAGATGCTGGTCAAGATCGAGGCCGAAAGAATCTTCTCAAAGGTATCGCTTTAGTAGCAGAGCAGGTTTGCACTAGCGAAGGTAGTGAGAGCAATAGTGATCAGGTTTGGGAGCCGTATGTCCAGCCAGGGCCTTTCATGACAAGGGATATGGTTGAGGAAGAACAGCAGAGAATGGTTCGCCGGGCAGAGGCAAAAGATACAGATGACGAAAGCGAAGTTCGGAGGCAATCTCTAACTTTGAAGAGTGACATGATGGCTTTTAAAGCTGCTAATCCGAATGCTACCATGGCTGATTTTGTGCGATGGTTTTCCCCAGCTGACTGGATCACCGCAGAGGAACTAGAGCAACAGGTCTCAAGTAGCCAAGCAGGCACCATCCCAGACGAAGGACTATCCCCAGAAACAAATCAAACAGTAGTGACATCAATGGATGCGACTGGTGCATCCAAGGACGAGGGCGAAGGTGCATCGCTGCACTTTGCAAACCGAGACGGTGCTCCTGCTCCAGAAGCGCTGGCCAAACAATCAAAACGGCAAGGACGTTTGAGCGCGCGCATGAGCTGTAAAGGAAATGTATGGGAAGAGCTCTGGAACGAAGCAGATGATATCCCCGCGGCGAAGCAAGTGCCTCTTTTTGATGCAAGCGCTCACGGGAGCAAGGCTTTAGGGGATTTACGTGCTATGCCGCTGTCGCAAGTGTTGATGCATTTGGCGGTCCTTCAAGGAAGTGGAGCTGCGATGCTACTGCATACGGCATTTTGCAGAAACCCGGCATTGCCCGGTGTGCGAGGTGAAATCGAGCGAGCTAAGCAAATGATGCGCAACTTGAGTTGTTCACTACCAATTGATGAGGCCGATGTGACACAACTAGGGCATGTAGCTGAGGCACTCGATCGGGTCGGAGTTGCGGAGCACGCAGCCCTGGTGGCGACATCGGTGTTTACGAAACTCCCCCCAGTTGAGGGACTGGGTCACATCGTGGACAGCCTTGCGTGTGGGCAAACTGCTGAAGTGAGTGAAGAGCGAGAGCGGGAATTAATCACTCGGATGGCCGGTCTTGGGGACGGGGGCTGGAGAAGCATCTTGCTGCCCGAACAGCGCGAGTTTGTGATCATGGGGCGAAGCGAGGACATTAATCTTGGGGGTTTGAAGGACCGGATGTATGCGCGGTTGAGTCGAGACGAATTCCGAGTTGGTTTTCGACTTGGTATTGATTATTCTGTGTAGCGGAAGATTGCAGTGTTGGTTTCTCGGGTCTTCAACGAGGTGTCAAGCAACGATCTCGTGGCCGAAGCCCGCTGCGGGGGCGGCCCCGACGAGACCAGACGTGGAATGCACCCCGGAAGTAGATTATATATACACGGTAAACGGGATGTACCGACGTCAGCATGCATCCATCTTGCACATTGGACATAAGCTCTTCTTTTCCAACCATACATCAACACACTGACAAGACATGAGCGGCGAAAGCAAGAGATACAGCAATATTAGTCAGAAACAGACACAAAGGCGCTTAGAAACAGCAGCACAAACGCGACTCGGCGACGACGAAAACGGGCACGTACCTCTGCATGAAACGCGTGGTCACAGTGAAGGTGGCGGACAGTGTCGCCACCCTCATAAACGCCCAAGCAGATAGCGCACTTATCGCCCTTCTGCACGGGCCTGATGACGTCCCCTCCCGGCATGTCGAGCCCGGCAGGGCCATCGAGGACGAGCTGGAGCGGCATGGCGTCGATGACGGAGCGGCACGCGCCCCTGCCGACGAAGAGGCCGAGCATCATGTCGACGACAAGGGCCCACAGCCCCGTCGGCTCGTGCGAGCGGCGCGGCAGCAGGGCGTGCAGGCGCGTGGAGATGGAGTGGAACACGGTGGAGAGCGTCGACGGCGGCGGCGGACACGACGTCGGCGGACACGACGTCGGCGGACACGACGTCGGCGGACACGACATCGGCAGCGACGGCTCGCGCAAAGTGAAGGCGGCGCAGATGTCGAAGTAGGCGAACAGCACCGCGTCCATCTTGCGCGCGGGGAGAGGCTCTTGCGGGGCGGGAGGCATCGCGGCGGGAAGCGGGCTTGGTTGTCTCGGAGAGGATGGGGAGGATACGCGGGTGAGGCGGGCTTGGTTGTATCGGAGAGGATGGGGAGGATACGCGGGTGAGGCGGGGGCGCAGGCGGGGAGGACGCGATGGCGATGAGACGAGGCGGCGCTTGAGAAGTCGCGAGGCAGATGGGCCGCGGATTGAAGAGATGAATCTTGGGGGGCGGTGTATGGGGTGCGGGCAACACAGCAATGAAATGGATCGAAATCTCAACGGCGTGTCGCCCAATGGGCGCGGCGCACGGGGCAATCTGCTGCCACGGCGTAAGACAGAAGTATATCGGGGCGGAGGCGGACCGCGTTTGGCCAACAAGTGGCATCCCCCGCTTGGGTGCGCCCGTTCACCGCGCCAGTTCCTTTGCTTTTGCTTCTGCTTCTCATTTTGCTCCCCGTTGACGCGTCGTGCCTGCCGCGGGCAGCGCGGCCCTTACAGATCCGTAAGGAACAGTCCTCTGTATAGCACTATCTGTATGGCGCAGCGTACACTAAATCACTTCGCCGTACAGTGCAGTACCCAAGGGTACTACTGCCCGGTGAGCAGAGAGATGCTGCTGGCAGCATCTCTCTGCTGGCACCAGCAGCCGCCCGCAGCCGCGCCCAAACTAGAGAGTTGACGTGCCAGATCACCCCGGTTCGCATGGCGTCTGCGCTGCCGCGCTCCGCTGCTCGCGGCAGATACGAGCCGCACGACAAGCGCCCGTCTACGTTGGGGACGGTCAGCCCCCGCTACGGCCAGCGCTGTCCTACAAGCCGGCGTATCCATCTGCCGACACCGCTCGCCGTGCCGCGAGCTCCTCCGCTCGCTAGCCAGCGCGCGCCGAATCATCTGCTGCCTGCTGCGCAGCATGGTTGATCGCCCCGGCGCGGGCGCGCGGACGGCCGTGGCGCGCTGCCCCGTCTACGTGAGAGGTGCCGGCGCGCGGTCGCGGCGGAGGCGGCAGCCTTTGCTGCTCCGCGCGGGCAGAGGCAGGCCTCCTCCTCGATGATCCGTTTGAAAGGTACACGTGTACCTCGACGTAGGGACGGTCTCCGCGATTATGCCTCTACCATGGGTATATAGTATATACCCTTGGTAGAGGCAAAAGGCACGCATTATACTACTATATACTATATACAGTAGTATAATGCGTGCCTTTTGATGCTGAAAACTGAAATGATTTGCAAAATTGGACGGCCAATCTGGACAGCACTTGTGTAACGACAAGAGATTTTGTCCTGAGTGAGGAGTGAGGAGTCGTCGGCAATACCGGAGAGTATCGTTTTTGTCTACTGTACCGCTGCGGTACATTACAAGTAAAGCTTTACATACCCTTCTTGAAGGGTAGTACCCTTGGTACAGTAAGGTTGTCTGTAAAGTCACGAGAACGCGTGTTTTGGCGGGCGTGTTTGCTCATATTTTCTAAACGCAAAATATTCAGACAACGCGTTTGGCAAAACTCACATCATACCGAAAACTGGGGCATGTGAGTTTCCCACGAGTTTCACATCCGCCTGATCACACCAGTGCCGGATCGACCGGTCTTGAGGGAAAACAAACTGGGGTTTTCGTTCTTTTCATCAGTACAAACGAGTCTCGACTGCACAGGTCGTATCGATATGCGTAATGGACGCCCCTATCGCTTCATCTGCGCAGAGTCCATTGACGGATCAAAGCGCGACAGGATCTGCCACAGATGCCGCCGAAGCAACTGCGAAAGATAGACAAGTAGAAGCTTCTAAAAAGCGGTCCTCTCCAAACGGCCCCCTTCAGCCCGTCAAGAAGACGAAACACATCGCTCTTTCGACTGAGAACCACTCTATCCTTGTGGCGAGCTTCGATATTTGCTTCAGCGAGTACTCGCGCACGTGCACGTGATCCGTCGGGCGGCACAAAGTTGTACCAGACATGCGTTTGTTGCGGGCAGGCACCCTGCTGGAGGTCAGCCCGCAAAACCCGTAGCGGAAATTTTCAATCTTTGGGGTTACTTTAAGTCCAGCGATTTTGCGGGCAAATGAATAAAACGGACAAACTTGTGAAGAATTCATTCAAGCTCTTCCTAAACATCTCGCCGGGTCGGGTTAGGGCACGTTCGCGCCGTTGGTATGCAGTACTCCAGTAATGGCAACATGCGCTAAACGCTGGGGTGTGGTGTACGGCACACAGAAGTCAATCTCTCTGAGGGGCGGGAGAACCGTCCTCCGTCCCTGCGAGCAAAATGTGGTGGTGGAAAAGCGACTTGGAAAGCTCCCTCATACTGTACCGTAGGAGCCCAAATTGACCTGATCTGGGGATACTGTAGAAGTTCTACCCAGCCATTATGCGGCATCAAAAGCAACCACGGGACGTGGAAGAAGCGGCGCGTGCCTCCGCCGCAGAGCCCATCAAAAATTCCTAACTTTTGGCCGCTTTGCACGAAGCCCAAGTGTGGACCACTATACAGTATGTCTACGGAACATCCTTGCACCGTCATGGCCCTATATCGCCCCACGTCTGGACGTCTGGACCAGCTCGGGCTCCGACCCCGATTTTGTGCGTTCCGCCTCCACCAACATACTCCTCAATGTTGTCCACCTTGCTACGCTTCGCCCCGCGCCACCCCGCCGCGCCCCCCTTCCATAAGTTCCAATCCCCCAACGCCGCCCGCCTGCACCTGCACCTCGTGCAGCCCTGCCTCACTGCGCCGCCCCCTATCCCAGCCGCGCAACCCCGGCCCGACCCCGCCGCCATGTCCGCCCCGGAGCTTGCCGCGCCGTCCGCCGAGTGCTGCTGCGTGGGCGACTGCGTGGGCTACGAGTGCATCCGGCAGCGCTGCGCCTCGCTCATGAGCGCGGGTCGCGCGGCCGACGCACGCCACCTCGTCGCGCGCGCGCTGCGCGACGAGCGCGAGGGCCCCATGGCCGCGGAGCTGCGCGGCATGTACGACGACGTCGTCGCCGCGGCCGCCGTCGCGCCCGACCGCCCCTCGCCACACACCTCCGTCCCCGCCAGCCCCGCCCAATCGTCCGCCGCCCCGCGCGACGACCGCCCCGACAGCCCCGTCAGCACGCACAGCGCGCCCCGCCCGCCCGAGTGCAGGCAGAGCCCCGCCTCGGACCTCGCCGCCGAGTTCGAGTGCGTGCTTTGCTCCAAGCTGCTGTATGAGCCCGTCACCACGCCCTGCGGACATAGCTTCTGCCGCAGCTGCTTGGTCCGCGCGATTGACCGCTCTCCACATCCCGCATGTCCCATGTGCAGGACCGTGCTGCACATGGAGGACCCGACCGCACTGCCTATTACCGTCGTGCTGCGCAATGCCATTCAGCAATGCTATCCGCACAAGTACGAGATTCGTCGCAGGGAGGCCGAGGCGGAGACGCCGTCCGCGGAGAACGCCATGAATCGACTGCCGCTTTTTCCGCTCAATGCCGTCGTGTTTCCGATGCAGCGCTTTCCCATGCACATTTTTGAACCGCGCTATCGCCTCATGCTTCGGAGGATTATGCTTGGTAGCCGCAAGTTCGGGCTGATCGCCTTAAAGCGCACCAAACAGGGCACTTCAGAGTTGTGTAATGTCGGCTGTGTGCTTGAGGTGACAAAGGCGGAGCGCTTCCCGGATGGGCGCTCGTTGATAGAAACCACGGCGCGAGAGCGATTTTTAGTGCAGGGGAGAACAGAGGTGGATGGATATTTGGTTGGACGAACGACAGTGTACGAGGACAACGAAGACACGGACACTGAGGAGGTGGCTCAAGTGGAGGCGCGCGTAAGGAGCATTGTGGAAAGCTTGATGGAAAAGGGGTCGCAACTACCGACGACACAACATGCGTTGCAACGCGCCGGCGACGTTCCATCAAAGTCGCAAGGGCCGGCTGCGTTAGGAATGTGGCTTGCTGGCATGCTCGTTAGTGATGACAGTGAGCGCCAGAATATGTTAGAGATGCGAAATTCAGCAACAAGGTTGAAGGAGATGGTGGCCATCCTGGAACGATTTAGAGATTCAATGACTGCAACGGCCAACGCAAATGGACATGGAGGGCGGGAATGCTGCATTCAATAGGTAGAGTAGCAGCTTTTTTTTGGGCAGTGGCAGACGAACAGTCAATAATTGGGCTGCTCAATAAGTCTAAATTGACGGCATTTGAAAAAGAGCGACAAGTGCGTCTGGCTTCGTCAGAGAGAGCAAGGGCCGGCCATGCGGGCCTTCACGGTGAAGGACTGACTTCATTGCATTGAGTCAGAGGAGCCGAATTCTAGAAGGCGTGAGAACAGCTTCAAGGACGACCTCGCCGCACAGTCACGATCAATGGTACAATGGTAGGCCTTCTGCTTTGTGCATACTGCCTACGTCGTACAGAATTAGCTTGCAAACAGACAAGGCGGATGACATCAAGGAGAGAGTGACTGTCGAACTCTTTTCCGACACTGCTGTCATGAAAGAAAGACGCAGTTGTTTGAAGATGGCCTTTGATCCTGCAATAAGTAAGAAAGTACCTCACCAGCAAAGACCGGTTGTAGACAAACCAATCAAACAACCTGGGGCAAAGACCAAGCATATGAGCAGAACTTGTATGAGCAAGATGCTCACCGACAAGGGAACGAATTGCGAGACTAGTCTTGCGCGTCAACCACATCAATTTGCACACTGACAATTGCAGGTTGAGGGGCAAAGAAAATTGCAAGATTCGAAAGGAGCACACGCCCAGGTACGTTGACCAGCTTACAAATATGCGAGATAAATTACGGACATCTCATCTGCTGACGTGGTCTGCTGCTCTCGAAGAGCTGGCCGCAGTACGGACCACCAGAGAAAAACTTTAGAAATAAAATCATCTTAATTTTTTGAAGAAGTGGCGCATGTCCGAATTGAATTCGGGGTCTCTTTGAAAGCAGTTACAGTATTAATAATAGTATTATTCATACTGTATTATTATAATACAGTATGTGCGTGTGCCGAGCAGTGCCATCCACAGTGCCCTGCAATGCCCGCAAACGCAATGAAAAATACAATTTTGCTACGTTTTCTTTCAACGTGTCGAGCGGCGGACCAGCCAGATATCCCTTTCTCTTGGGGGCTTTGCGAGTTGGCGCAAACCACCCACTGCTTGTCTGCCTTTTCTTCTCCGAAACATATTTCTTCGCTGTGTACCTGGAAACGGAAACGGCTGGAGTCGCTAACTTTCGTCCAGTTCGCCACTTCACTGCGGCGGGTTATTGCTAGGAAGTACGGTTTCGCAGCGTGTGGAAGAGTTTGAGCTGAAAATTTTCACGATTCTCACTTTAAGCAAAGCACATTGCAGCACAAGAGCCGTTGTCATTGCAAAGAGAGAACTTCAACTTTCACCGAATTCCTAGCTTGACTCATCGCCAATTTGCTCACATGGCCCATGGGGACTATTCCGAGGCGACGCCTCTCATCAACACAGCGACGAGGACAGACATTCCTGACGGAACCGGCGATGATCAGTTGGCCACTACAGGCCGAAAGCGGGCCGTGCAAGCTCTGAAACGCGCGAGGACGAGATTATATCCCGACGCCCCGGTCGGACAGACAGGCATTGACAAAGTTTGTCAAGAAATTGAAGAAGGCGAGAAAAGCTCTAACCGTTTTTTCTGGATTGCCTCGTTCTTCATCCTCAATCACATTATTGGGGGGGCTGTCACGCTCCACTTTTTGGAGGGATGGTCGTTTTACGATTGCTTTTACTTCTGTATTGTGACGACCACAACCGTCGGGTACGGTGATATCACACCGAAGAGCTCGGTAGCTAAGCTGTATGTTATTTATTATGTCATCGTATCCATTGGGTTGGTGTCGACGATGCTTTCATATCTCATTGGGTTACTCCTCGACCGGCAGGAAGAGGTTCTACTTGCCGCTATCGTCAGAGATCGTGACGAGGACCCAGTCTCAGAGATGCGCACAGCGGATGGTTCCGTCGACGTCGAAGAGCCGCCCTCCACCGCCAGCATTAATGAACGCATTATGAATGCAACAAAAAGCTTGGACATTTCCGACTACTGCGGCCTCGGGTTCGCAGTTGGGTTCCTCGGCCTTGCGTTGGCGGTTGGAATGTTGGTTTTTATGGGACTCGAAAACCTCGCACCAATTGATGCGGCCTATGCGACGATCATTTCGGCGTCCACAGTTGGATTCGGAGACTATGAACCCACAAGAAACAGTACCAAAGTGATCATGACAGTGTGGCTGTGCTTCTCTACCATTGCAGTTGGTAAGCTCGTTGCAGACTTCACGGACGCCAACGTGAAAGCAAAACAAAGAGACGTGAGTCGTCGCCTTCTGACTGCGACAATGAACGTGGAGAGCATTCGCAATTTAGACATGGACAAGGATGGCTCTGTCGACAAGTGCGAGTTTCTTACCCAAATGCTCGTGCGCAGCGGAAAGGTGGAACAGAAGGACCTCGACGCGATTTTACTCCGCTTTGATCAACTTGACAAAAATAGCAATGGAGAACTGTCCGCAGCGGATTTGGAGACATCATGATCTACAGGGTTTAGGTCACACCGAAAGGAATGGAATGGAGGATATATCTGCTTGTATGCAATAAAATGAAAAACGGAAGGTGACAGAGCATTTGAAGTAGCATTGAGGCCTTTTTCCGAGATTTGTCGAAAGCATTGGTTTCGTTGGGACGTAGGGCCAATATCTTGGTCGAGTGGCAAAGGCAGTTATAAGTCTGATTCAAAGAGAAAGGAGCCAGCTCAGTCGTGGACACTGCGACCCGTGACCGGTAGCCCGTGCTCAGGTGACAAATCAAAACAAGACGAGTATCTCGTTTCTCAGATACCCAGACGACGTTCTGTTCTATTTCTTTTTCCGCTCTTCCGCCGTCCTTCGATACACTTCATAACGCAGATTGATGAACTGGTATTACGAGTTGGACGGGATGAAAGGCAGACGGGGTGGTAAGACGCGTTGAAGCATGGGGAAGATTGAGACTGACGTGGAACATAATGGTGTAACCATGCCTGTGGGCAAAGAACTGACCAGTACAAGGCAGCTTTTGGTCATGGGGATTAAGACCGACAAGTGTAAGCAGGGTGCACTATCGAAATGAAAAAGAATGAGGAGAGTTGTCGTTGTCCAACCGAACGTCTGACATGATGCAAGCGAAGCAGAATTGCAACGGGTTATGATCGAGACACGTCGGAAAGTAACAACGAAAGTCCAAAATCTGACACAATACCTTTCAAAAATTGCGCTTCCCAAAAAAAAAAAAAAAAACCCGCGTGTGCGATCCGCCTGCGCGCCACAAATTTTCCATTTCACTCACCGCCTCGTCTCATCTCCCTTGTAACCTTCGCTTGCAGCCCCCCGACACCTTCCGCTCGTCACTTCCACGCGGTGACATTCTCGCCGACATCCCCGCCCTTGAACTCCCTTTTTTATTCGAAAGTCTACTAAACCGTTGCCCCTTCGCCTTCTCCCCATACACTCCCCCTTCGTCGGCCTGCTAGTCCAGACCTTACCCTCCCCTTTCTCACCATTTACCAGTCTATGAACTTTTCCACAGATGTGTTGGAGACCACCCCCCGGAGAGAGAATGCGAGACCATCACCCGGACACTACACCCATGAGGTATGTGCTCCTTCTTTCGTTTCTTCAATACTGTTTCCATCTCTGTCGTGTCCTCACTCTTACAAGTCGTGGTATACGTACTCATTATGACTCCGTCAAAGGCTAACATTTTCCCCGTCTCATGTGCTCACTGCAAATGACCAAACAAATAATTTTCTTGCCTCTGTGCCCGCACTTAGTTTCAAATATACCACAAGCCCAAGCCTGGACGTGATGGTGCGAGCGGTGGTGTGACGAAGCGAGCAAAATGTCTTCACTGTCAACACGACTGGGCGTAAGTACTCATTTCCGTGAGAAGCAATGAGACTTTTGCGCCCCACCATCAACCGTATTCAAGCTAACTTTAGTTTCGAGTCATTGCACTTTGAATCGTGAACATCTCCGGCAAATCTTCATGCGAATAGATATAATGAAACAAGACTCAAGAACCACATCATCAATAGAGACCGCGGCTGTCGTCGCATTCCACAAGAAATCCGCGAACGCGTCCGTGCTGGCGCGGGAGCAAATGTCCAACCCATGACCAGCTCCGCCGCCCTCCCGACGCTATCTCCCTCGCAAGTACAAACGCCTCCCGCAAAGCGCAAGCATGAATCCGTCATAACGACCGTCACCCCTATCCAAAACCAGCCCCAAGTCGTCTCCGTGGGCGGAGACTTGGAGTTGGCCGAGGCGCAGGCCGGTGGCGCTGAGGCGCAGGCGACTCACGTCCGCGTCGCTGTCGAGTTTTCAATGTCATCCGGCAGCTTGCTGCGGGCGACATGGATAGCGGCAGAGCTGCTTTCCGAGTTTCACAGAGATATCGTGGATGTCGCTCTTATTCCGCGCCCTACGCAAAACACGTTTAATATGTGGATTTGTGGCAAGATTGTATGGTCGCGCGGCGTGGGGCAGCCGCTTCCGGACTACGAACACCTCAGGCCGATTGTTCGGGCACAATGCTGCAACGCAACTTTGTAAAGTGGAGTGATGACGCCGTCTCTCAGAAGGTTTGGCAATCGACGTCGATATGAAAGTATTGCTAGCATTGTGCGAGGTTAGGGTAGAAGATAATGATGTTCTCATTATGGGGGGGATGTACCTTGATGAAGCGTTAATCTGTTTGTTGTTGTATATAAAACAATGTTGTTTCTGGTACCTGGTCTTTCGCTGACGTATTCTAAAGAAAGGAAGCCTTCGAAGCCTTCTATGCATTTGAGACAGTCGTGAGATCTGCTTTTCCCAAATGCTACACATGTGCAGTGTCTCGAATCCTGCGGGATGACGCAGAAATGGAGTCCCTCGCGTTTTGAAGCGACGCGGTCGTATAGATTTGAAGGTGTTGCGCCCATAAGGAACAGAGTAATGTTCCATGCCTCTGAATAGCAAGGCATCTCGGCAGCGTCATGGTCTGAGGATGCCGGCATCGGTGAGCTTCTTCTCGACCTGGGTGAAAGCCTTCTCGCTCGCACGCTTGATGTCATCCGCATGTTCCGGCAGGACCTCCGCGACGCCCTTGACCTCCGGAATGTAGTGCCTCAACATATTCTCGACGCCGCTCTTGAGGGTAATACTACTACTCGAGCAGGTACTACACGCGCCCTGCAGCTCCAAGTTAACCACGCCGGTCTCCGTGTCAAAGCCGCGATACAAAATACTGCCGCCATCCTCTGCAACGGCGGGCTTGACCCTGGTCTCCAGCAGCTCCTTAATCATAGCGACGACCTCATCATCGTCCTCCGTGATGAGGGTATCCGGATGGACGGGGGCCTCGCCGTCCTGCAGGATGACGCTCTCGGCGTCGGCGGTGAAGAACTCCATGATGACCTCGAAGATCTCCGGGCGAAGGACGGTCCAGTCGACGGGGTCGTCCTTGGTGACGGTGACGAAGTCGGCGCCGAAGAAGACCGAGCGCACGCCGTCGATGGAGAAGAGCTTGCGGGCCAGCGGGCTCGGGGCCGCGGCGCGCACCGACGGGTAGTCGGCCGTGCCGCGGCCGCCCGGCATGACCTCGCGCCCCGGCATGAACATGACGGCGTGCGCGTTCGGCGTCGCCTGCGTCTGGATGAACATGGAGCGCAGAGGCGGCAGGAAGAGAGCGGCCGCCCGCCGCGGCCGGCCGCGCAGACCCGCGCCGCGCGCAAAGGCCGACGAGGCTTGGCGAAGCATCGCGGGGCGGAGTGACGGCGCTGCGGCTCCTTTGCCGTGCGAGACGGGGCTTTGAGGGCTGGACCTCTTTGGGCGAGGGAGGGGGAGTTACGGGCAAGGGCTCAAACGAATTTCGGAAGGGTGTGTGATGGGAAACGACGAGGTACAGCAGGGGGAGGGGAGGGGGGGGGGTGGTGCAGAGCAGGTGCCGTGATAACAGGCGACTGCTCAAGGAATGGAATGCTGTACAAAATGTGCAAGTGTCGACACTTGCACGTGTACACGTGTATGACGTAAAAATGATGTCGGCAGGAGCATTTATTTATTTAGGTTTTACACGGTACAGTATTTAAAACATTTTGATTGCCTCCCGGCAGTGGAACCAATGAGAAAGTCGCTGTACAACATGTGCAAGTGTCACACACGTGTACGACGGGTACACGTGTATGACGTAAGGAGATATAAAAGTGATAAAATGATAGGAATGTAAGCACGACCGGAGCATTTATTAACGTTTTTATTAAAATGTGAGTAGACGGCGCAGTTTTATTTGATTGGCTCCCGGCAGCAGAACCAATGAGAAACCCGTCAGTTTGTCGGCCACAGAGTTCCAGACACTTCTGGAGCTGCACCCGCCAACGCTCCCCTTGAATTAATCTTTTATTTTCGCCTCTCTCCAAACCCGTCCTGCCCCATCTCCAACCCTATGCGTCGCTGCCACCGTTTTCCCTTTTCCCTTTTCCCTTTTCCCTTTCCGTACCACCTTCCCCCCCCCCCGACGAGATGGCCGATGACAACATTGATACAACAACCCTTTCGTTGCTCGAAGACAGCGACGATGAAAAGAAACCAGGGAAACACGGCGGTTCTCTGCCAGGGCGATCAGGCAACATTGAACGTGGTCGGGTTGAAGCATCAAAGCGTCTTTTCCAGGACTACTTTTC